GACATATGGGAGAGGGCAAGATATAGATGCAGACGGTTTTCCATTTTGTGGAGCAGCACACAGTGGGAGCTAGTAAACATAATTATAAGGTTTCACAACTAGCAAATTTCTGGTATAATCAGTAAGGCTCATTTAGCCACTTTGCAGATACATACCTGTCTAGATAGGCTGCTTTCTCTCTCTGCTTCTTTCTACTATCGCTATTAGACCTTTCCGAGTCAAACAGATTGGAAAATCAGGCATGATGCTTGATAGTGGATTGACCCTTTCTCCCTGACTCTATCTTCCTGCAGACAATCAACCATTTGATTTTTAAATGTTTTGCTTACAGGGGAATCAATCGTTCTATTTTTTATATCCAAAGTGAGGCAAATATATCAGAGTCAGAGATCAGACTCAATCATACCTGCTGATCTTTGCGGCAGATTAAGCCGCTTCACAAGTTGGAAATAATTTACTTTGCTGCTAAAAGTTTGACAAAATTGACTTCTAGATCTTTGTCACTGAGCAGTAAGTCCATCTTTCAGAATAATCAAATTGATTCCCAAATGCCAAAATTAACCCTTCCCTTGTGGTGCCATTTCCTTCTGATGTAACTCCCGAGCTTTTGAGATGGGTTGTCATCACATTTCAACTTTTTCCCTCTTAATTCCCCCGTGATCTACTAATTGAATGATGGCACTGAGTCTTAATTTCTCATTGTCTTTTAAACAATGTTGTGTGCTGAAAGTTTTAAAACAGGAGGAGACTGCCCAGACCTGTAGAGTTCTAAAAAAAAAAAAGCCATTTGGGATGTGTTGCTTTGAAATTACAACCAATTCTTTAAAACAAGAAGAGGAAGAGAGGCCTAAAGCAAAGCTTGAGCGAAGTTCAGGAGACATTTGCTATTCACACATCTGACCTTAATCTTGGCAGGCACTTTCTGAACTAATTTAAATAAGAAAGATGAAGTGGGTGGGGGAAAACATCTGACATGGAAGCTGCATTCCAAATCATCATTTGGCAAAGGTTGCTCTTCGTTCTGCTGAGTTACATCCAAACAGCTTGATGCTGTCAAAACAGATTGTATGTAACTGGGGATGTGTCCCTATTGGTACAAAATCTATACACCTGCATAGCCTAGAACCAAATTAATGATAGCGGCACCAATAATGGATAATTTGGCAAGGAAACCATCCTATGCTAATTTAAAGCCAACCACGTGCCAATATTGTACCTACATCTGTTTCATGAGGACAGAAGACAAGCATGTTTACAAAACAGTACAGATTGGACAATAGCAATTAACTGCTTCAGTGTGATTCAAGATACACTGGACATGGACCAGTGTTAGGCTGCATTAGTCTGAATTCTGTACTCCCCAGATATGGCAGACTATAATTTCCAAAACTCCCAGTCAGCAAACCTATTGGTCACACTGGGAGGACAATTTCCAAGTGTAATGTATATAGAGTTCCGAGTTCAATGCACATATAGAAGTCAACAGAATGGGAAAGATTGGGACAGGCCAAAGAAAAAGTTGATCCATTTCTTTGCATTCCACAGTAGTTTATTAAATATTTCAAAAATGTCTTTTTCCTCTCTAAATGAGACTTTCTCCACTCACAGTGTCAAGACTGGATAACTAAGGCAACAGATCTTTGAGTTCAAAAACAGGCAACCAGCAGGAAGAAATGCAGACAAACAGGTAGGCAAAATATTAAATCAGTTGTGTAAATGCCTAATAGGCAATTGTCCTGACTGAGCTAATAAATCACAGTTAGAAGCTTCATAGCAGATGGATGGAGTTAAAGAATTCCTTAGCCCAGTGTTCTGACTGAGGAATTCTGGAGTTGAAATCCAAATATCTTAAAGTTGCCAAGTTTGAAAAACACTTCATTATAGGTTTGGACCATTATAGGTTTGGACCCTTTCCTCACCAGCAAAACTTAGCAAAACTCAATTACTGCTGGCCTACTTATCTGTTGTTTGAAATCTTGTTTCTACTTTATGTCACCTGGGACAGGCAAAATCAAATGTGTGCTGTCCACCAAGGCAGTAGAGATCTTTGAAAAAATATGGTGCTTTTTGTAAGGCTTGAGCAAAAGTGTCCTTTTGAAGCAAAACTAAAAAGCAAAGTAGAGCCCCACTTCTAAACTGCAAAAGGGAGTGGGTGGGTTGCTTTGCTGAATATTCATTTAGTACATGTCTAGCACATGAACCAAAAACACAAGCTCCTGAGATTGAAACAAACCACACTTCAAAATAGACCATCTTTGCTCTGCCTTGAACTTTATCAAGGCTAATCACCAACTCTCCACAAGGACTTCACCACACTGTGTAGTTGGATTGTTGAGCAAGTCAAAATTCTTCATTGAGGCAAGTTCTGACCAACACACTCTGGGAGGAATGGCTATATTGAAGGCAGGGATTGGCTGAAGCACAACTAGTGTCACATACTTCTCATCTTTCTTTTATGTAAGATGTAGCCTTTGTGTCAAAATCACTTGGGCATGAGAATCTACCAATTAAAAACTGCCCGGTAACATGAACATGAACTCCCTCAAAAATCAGACTGCAAAGAGGCAGAATTACCATATTTATTTTTTCCATCATGGTTCTATGATGAACAGGAAGAAAAAAATGATTTATTTTAAAATCTTTAAAAACTTTTAAAACATGATTACACTAGTTAAATCATGTTTTAAAAGTATTTATTACTAAATTTATATGCACTCATTTTACTATCCCATACAACTGTGGGCAGCCTAGGAATGAGGTAAAATTGATGTCAAGAAACCAGAAGGTAACATTGAGATTTTCAGGCCAATCTGGTGATGTAAATCTGTTTTTAAGGAAGCCTTTTAGACATATCTGGCTGAAGTAATTCTTCTTCTTTAAATAATAGCTGTGGGGATATATATGAAGAAGGTATGCGTTTTTTTTAATTTTTTAATTTTTTTATCCAATGTATATAACTACCCGTCTCATTTAGTAATCCTGGGCTCAAATAGAATCAAAAACAATAAAAACACTATAGTCCCAAAGGTGCTTTTTTAGGAGGCAACTGAACTTTCTTGTTTTTTCTTTTGAAGATGTTTTGCTTCTCATCCAAGAAGCTTCTTCAGCTCTGACAGGATAGTGGGGAATGGAAGGATTTATATTCCTTGCATATTCCTTCTTGGATGAGAAGCGAAACGTCTTCAAAAGAAAAAAACTAGAAAGTCTAGTTGCCTGCCTCCTGAAAAAGCACCTTTGGGACAACCATGACCTGAATGACTGAGAGTCTCTACAGACCAATAAATCACAATAAAAAAATAAAATAAAATATGAGAAACAACAATCCAAATTACTAGCACAACAAAAAAGTGGGTCCCTGTACATACTTGTCTAACAAAATGACTCCAGGCAGTTGAAAGGACTTTCTGATGTAACTGCTTACTGCACATTATTTATTTGTCTTCTGCATGAACATTTATGGGAAATGTGCATCATCCAAAGCTGTGGTTTTGGATGTAGGTAATATATGACTTGCATATTTTGCCATACGAGTTTCCCTTTGGATAGGACAATAGCAATCTAAAAAGTAGAACTGCATAAGAACAATAGACCCAATTATCCGCATCTGTCCTGAGATTAAAGCCCATCTGTTATCATCCAATAATGATAAATTAAGTGCAATTGGAAATTCCTGAGGTCCATTCATTGCAACTCAGCAATGCATCTTTCATTTTGAGCTCTGCTACACCCTTCCCTGCTTTCAATCAAGCCCATTGTGTTTTCTCTCCATTGCCCTTATCGTCCCTGCACTGAAAACATATGGAGGTTTTGCAGAGAGAACACTTTCAGTCAGCAGAGCCAGATACTATAATAGCATTCCATGCGCTTCTGAAAACAAGTTGGGAGGGAGGAAGGCCGATTCTCCCACATATTGGAGCGTGAGTGCTATCTGGCACTGGGGCCCCCTAGAGAAGGAAACATTGGACGGCGAAGAGACAACAGAATTTTTCATAAGTTACCACTGCTTTGCACTGGCCATTCTCCAATGAACAGGTGTGTTAAGGAACAAGTGGATAGAACATGTAGAGGACCTGTCAACTTGACATCTGAGTCCTCTCCCATGTGTTTCTGTAGTACTGATAAAAATCCATTGGAGGGCAGCATTTCAAAGCTTCCTGGGATTCAAAGCTTCCTGGGACTAGAGGCCAAAGTTAAAATTAAAACTATATGGTGAGATATTTTACCCGCACATTGTGTTTTCTGATTTCTTTGGTTTAGAGCCGTAGATTAAAAGCTAGTGCATGGGCAGTCCAGTAGAAATGATATTGCAGAAAAAGGAAATCATTAAGGAGATAGGATTGAGCTGAATTGAAGGATCTCAAGAAATTGCCCAAAGACATTTCAGTTTGGCTTCAAGCACCCATCTTTTTCAATTAGCAACCAAATGGTTTCTCTTGAGTTTTATGGCAGGGAATGAGGGGATATTAAACCAAAGAGACTATGAATCTGAAGACAAAAAAGACAGAAACGGCTGGTTCAAAAATAGAATTTTATAGTTTCACCATTGACATCAACAATCTTCATTTCGGCCTATGAAAAGAAAAGAGAATAAGTTCATTGCAGAGGAAAAGCAGCAGCTAAATCATGCATTTCTGAGAAAAAGATCCAAGATAAAACTATCAAGCCTCTGTATCCCATCGCTTCTCCTGGAGGAAGTCCTAATGCTTGCTTTGTAGCATCTTGATCGCCGGTATCATTTGATAAGAGTTTCATTTTGTTTCCCCCTCCACGCTCTGAATGCACTTGCCTCCTTCTGCTGTATTTTTCAGCTTCCTTGAGCTGCCACCCAGTCTAGGACCATACTGACAGTTTCTCGATGAGTGAAACCACAAGTGAGTGAGGGATGCTGCTGTATGGAAATTAGTTACAACGTCAGGAGAATGAAATACAAAGCTTGCTGGGGGAATTTTTTTATTTTTTTTGCCCAACTCTGAAGATCTTTGTTTTTAATATACACTCAAGAGAAATGGATCTGGCGGAGGTGCTCGTTATGGCCCTTTCCCTAATGGCGGTCAGAAAAGGTACCTCTTCTTCATTCTTGCTTATTTTCTGCATCTTCATTCCTCTCCAACTTTCTGGGGTTTTTCCCCCCTTTAGCTTTTTCTAAATAGCTTGCCTTCAGAAGTTGTAGGTGCTCCATCACTGGAGGCTTTCAAAAAAGAGACTGGACAACCATTTGCCTGAAATGGTATAGGGTCTCCTGCTTGAGCAGGTGGCTGGACTAGATGACTTCCAAGGTCCCTTCTGACTTTTGTTCTGTGTTCTCAAGGACCTTTAGATGAGGCATCAGTTTATTAATTATTCAAACCTTCTCCTTCCTTTTGGCCTTGCCTTTTGCGATGAAGTTGTAATTGTTGGCATCAGCAACCCTTTGAACATGAAGCCTAGAGCTGCTGCTTCTCCATTCTCTTTGTTCAGAAGTAATCTAATGCGATCCTGCATACATTGCATGGAAGGGTTCCTGATTAACCCCACGCCTAAAGGGATAGGAAAAGAGATTCTTTATTCATTTCTTCTGCAGTTCTTCAATGGCCCTCAAATAGCTACAGGAGTGAAACTGAAAAGGCAACAGAGTAGCCGTTAGATGACAAGTCTCTTACCCAGCCCAGAAGAAAAGGTCTCTGTTAGGAAAAGTGGAAGAAGAAGCAGGCTACATTCTTTGAAAAGTTAATATGTAAAGAGGGGTGACATAGAGCCCATTTATCACATTACACTGATTGCAGATTGCAGGGACCTCTTTAAAAGTTTTTTATTTTTTGAAAACAAACATACAAACAAACAGTGCACCCTTAATCATTCAGTGTTTCATCTGAGTACATATTTTGTGTTTTCTACTCCCTCCTCCATCATTTTCATATTATATTTCTATCATACCTCTATTGTTTCATTTAGATTGTTACATCATTCTTCCCAAATTTCTTATGTTTATATTAATTCATCAATTATCTATATCTCTATATCTCTATATCTATCTATCTATCTATCTATCTATCTATCTATCTATCTATCTATCTGTCTGTCTATCTATCTATCTATCTTCTCTAACCATTGTTATAATTGCCCCCATACTTTAAAATACTCCGATTCTTCCTTTTCTTTAATAGCCAATGTTAATCTATTCATTTCTGCACATTCCAATATTTTCTTACTTCTCCCTCTAAAAGGATTTTCTCTGCTTTCCAGTTTTGTGCAAATACAATTCTCGCTGCAGTTACAATATTATAATCAAATAAGTATTCCCTTTACTATATTTCTCTGGTAAGATATCCAATAGGAAGAGTTCAGATTTTAAATCAATACGTTGTTGTATCATTTCCTCTAGCCATGTTCTAATTTTAATCCAGTAGTTCCTCGCTTCTGGACACGTCCACCACATATGATAATATGATCTTGGTATCTGATGGCATTTCCAGCATTTAGTGATTGCAGGGACCTCTGAAGGAGCTGCTTAACAACATAAAAGAAGCTAAACGGTTTTGGACAAGGATCTGTTGGCCACAGCCAACAAACCATTGCATAAGCAGATGATTCCAGCAAAGATTCTTCCCCTCTCCTACCACTACACTCTCAATTTCCTCCTGGCTAGGAATCAGCAATCCCTGCCAGCTCAGCTTTAGCAGCTACTCTGTTAATATCTGCTGTTAGGTTTATTCATTACAATGTTTTTGCTTAATCCTCCTTTAAGAGCTATTTAATTATTTCGGAGATAGTAAATTCCTTTAGGGGCTATTTACTTTTGTCCTGAATCTACTGCCAGCTAGGTGATACTTAAATGATAATGGTAAAATCAAACATTCAGTTAATTTTATAATCTTCCACCATGTCTCCTCCACTCCCATAGCAATCATTTTTCCAAAACACTAAAAACACTGTATAATAAAAAAAAAAAGTTGCTCTAAGCACTGAATCTCAATTATTTCATTATCATCCTTTTCTGAATACAAAGAGACATCTTTGTTTTTTTGCATCGCACTGTTCCAGATTTAACTTTCCTGATAGTTCAGGAGAAAGAGGGAGAGGGAGGGAGGGGGAGGGGGGGAGAGAGATCCGATAGGAATGAAATTAGGAATTTCAATTAAACGGGGGCAATTTGCTTCACTTCACTGTTGTCATTTTATTTTTTGCAGTTGGGAAGGATCCTCATAGATAGGTTCATCTGATATAATTTTCAGAATTTCAATGTATTAGTTATTTTCTACAAGCTTGGTCAATGTGTGCTTACCTCTTATTGGTAATAGCACTGGTCCAAATAAGATCATTGGAGGGCTTCAAAATTTGCGTTCATTGTAAGAATTCTGTTTGTCTCTCCTCTTTGCTTTTTGTACTTTAACAGCTATCAATTGACAATGCAAAAAGTTACATTATTCATATGTTGCTGAATCACAACTCCCAGAAGCTCCAGTCCCCCTGGATAATGGGAGAGGGATGGTACAGTTTAATGGGAGCTAAAAGACCTCAGATTTCCTACATTATGCTGTAACTGCACATCCCTTTAAAATTTGATTCACAAGGTAGAAGAAGAAACCATTTGACTTTGCTTAGGCTGTCAGTGTAGCATGAATTTAAGAATACTGTCCATCTCTAACATGGGCACTGAATGATAAGTAGCAATAGGGCCATTTCACTATGTGCAGTCTTTTTTAGAAGCTACTTCCCCGGCATGTTCATCTTGAATGATTCCTTAAGGACAATACTCAAGGACAATAATTGCTAAATGAAATAATAAATTAAATAATAATTTATGGACAATAAGAGGGGAAATAAACAGAATTCTTTTGCAGATTTTGAGGACCTCCAAGAATCTGTTTTGGGACTAGCTCTAGTATCTGGAATAGCATTGATAACTGGTACAAGGTCAGTCTTAAAGGTTGAATAAAGTTCTCTTCGACCATTGATTTTCATTATCATATTCCCCTTAGACCGACCTTTGGTCTAAGTGTTAGTGATTTATTTGGGTGTTGTTGCTTTTTTTTTTTTTTGCTTCCTTTGAAGGCAGAACTGCATCTTATTAGACTGAGCTATTAAAGTTTATTGTTAGTCTTTTTTGAGGCCTAATGAAACATTACAAATATACATTCAGAGCAATTGGCCATGCTTTCCCACTTTCTTTTGTAGATGCCTATAGGAAACAGAGATTTTAAAGATCTGAATCCAGATGTCGGTTGTGCTCCTAAAATAAAGGAAGCAATCCAGAATGAAAGGTGTGATTTTGGCAGCTTTGTGTTACACCTTTAGCTGCTCTTTAAAAACTCAAGTTATGTAGCTCGTACAAGAACGAGATTTTTTTACTTCCTTCTGAGCACATTACTTGAAAATATATATTTTTGGGGGGAATATAATTCTGTAATGAGGAGAACTGTGATCCATCTTTAATTCGCTCAGGGCGATGGGCAAGGTCTCTGCATTTTACAAATTGCTGCTACTTTCATTACTGGCCTAATTAGAAATTGTCACAGTTTATTACCCTTTTTGCCCTTGTAGTGTACAGTTGATATCTTTTAAAAGTGAATCAACTAGCAAATGAAGAATCTTGATATCTGATGTATTTAGGGATGAAATGACATTTTTTTTTTACTCTTTTTACTTCTTTGATTGCTCCTCAATCAAAAGGAAGCATGTCTTTCCTTTCCCATTTATAAAATGGAGGAAATTGCCCATTGGCTCCAGCCACTGCTAATAATAGGTAAAGGTGAGATAATTCCATCAGACACTTGTAGCGTACGCACGAAGTTTCAGTCTTATGTAGCTTCTTTCCCCATGTTAACTTTTATTTCTGTAATTAGCTATGCAGGTACAAAATTATCACTTATAGTTTGGTCCTGTTGTACTTTGTTTTACAGTAGCAGATTTGTTTTTCTTAGTTAAATGTTATTAGTACACCTGATCACCTCAGCCCGCCGGCCATGTATGCTTCACAGGGGCTCTGTAATCCACCAAATCCTATTAAGTTTCCATAATAATTTGCTGATAATAATCCAATCAACATTTTGAAACATTACAATCAATATTCTTCAATTATAGCAAAGTTAATATAGATTATGTCCAGGGTCCATTCTGAATAGCAAGATTTCATGGTACCAATTCCTGCTGCCCTTAATATTAGCGCCTCTCTTTTCCGAACACCTGAACAAAGCGATCCTCTCTTTGAACCATCTTCTGTTTTTTTCAGATAAGACTAAAGAGATATCGAGAAGTATTTTAATGATTATTTGTGGGTTTGAATCTTGTTCATGGAGCTACCGTGAAAGTAATTTACGCTTTCAAGCTATCAAAGTATTACTTTGCATAACAATTGATACATATTCCTTCCAGGTTTTCTATCTTATATTTATAAGTCGCTTGATTGGTAAAGCTCTGCCTTTCATTACCAGCTCAAGGTTAGAGCAGAAGTTTTGCAAGTCTAGTATGTTCTGTGGAAATTTCACTCTTCTGAACCAGTGTTTCTCAACCTTGGCAACTTTAAAATGGGCAAACTTCAGCTCCCAGTCAGCTATACTCGGGCTGGGGAATTCTGCAAGTTGACATCCACTCATTTTAAAATCTCCAAGGTTGAAAAATACCATTCTAAACTTGAATAGAAAATTCCAGCTAGGACGGGCTGTGAGAAATGTTCCCAGAAATGGTGCCATGTGGTTGATCTGATCTGGCTGATCCAGTGAAACGAGATTTTCAGGGCAGTAGAATACTCTAATGCTAAGAATTTATCATGTTAGGAGCAGTTTGCAAACAATTATAGTCATAGTTAAGGCCATATTGGGTCAAGTGTCACCTTCTGGTTGCAACTGTTTTTTGGAACACAAGACAGGTAAATATTACAATTTAATCTAAATATGACTATATCTATTGGAATAAGCTTTTGAAATGAGAACTGAAGTAATTAATTCAGACCATATGTTGCAGGATAACAATTGCCATCAGCATGGAATTTTTTAAAATTAAATTTATTTACAGTTCAAGACCAAACATCAGCACAGAAGTGCTTAAGGGCTGTGAAGATTCAGTATTATGCTAAGTTTGCTCA